TCCTAGAAGAGAGAAAGGTGCTAAAAAGAAGAATAGAAAAGTTGGGAAAGGCCCCCAAGAAATACTTTCCATGGAACACTCTGTTACTTTTGTGAAGAGTCTGCATAAAGAGAGCAGCCCCTGAGACTGAGATGCCCTTGGCGAAGAACCAAAGCAGGGCTCTTCTCATGATGCAGCGGCCCCTGGATACGCGGCACGAACAGGAGTCGGTTAGGGAAGAGGGCAGTGGAGAAGAGAAAAGAACACCTGCTTTGTGCCACTGCACCCTAACGACAGCTAAAATGTCCCTGAAAACAAACGGCACAGTGGATGGAGCGTGGGGCCTGCAGTTGGGAAGTTCTGAGTTCAAATGTGACCTAAACACTTAACTAGCTGTGTGACCCTGGGCACGTCACTTAACCTGTCTGCCTCGGTTTCCTCATCTGTAAAATGAGGTGGAGAAGAAATGGGAAACCTCTCCAGTATCTCTGACAAGAAAACCCCAAATGGGGTCACGAAGAGTCAGACACAACTGACCAACATCATTGTTATTATGTGTGGTCTCCCCATTAGAAGGTGAGCTCATAGAGAGCGGGGAGGGGCTGTCCTACCTGTTTGTTTCTCCAGTCCTTTGCACACAGAAAGCACTTAATAAAGGCTTCGTTCATTTCACTCATCTTACTGTCTGTCCCTCCACTTTTAAACCTGGGCTAGACAGAAGGATCAGCTGGGCAACACCTTCCCCCTCCTCTACCTGACTTATTCCTTACCCAAGCTATGCAGTTACTTACATTTCTCAAAGGTCAAGGTCCATTATCCCTCCCTCTACTGCCAAGATGACGATTTTCCCACTTACTATCCAGAGGAAAGCTACACTTGAGATTGGCAGGAAATAGTCTCAATTTTTCCTGGGGGGTAAAAGGTACCATCTATATCTCATGTTTTCGGTATCAGGCCTATGGCTCCAGAGAGAGCCAGGCTAGGGACAGAACACTTTTCCTGATGTTATACTGGTGTTAGAATGAATAGTACAGTACTCTCACTCTAATCAAATACCCCTACATCTTTATAGCTGATATTAAGAAAGCGCCAAGTGGAAAAATGACCCCATTCGGTAAGGTAAGGATGAATGTATATAGGCACCTTGTCCACAAGAAAATCAGCCCATTTAGCAAATGGAAAGGTCCACAAAAGCTGGACTTTGAAAAGCCTACTCCAATGCTTAATGGGGCCCACTGCCTGAGAATGATAAACCAAATAAAAACACCATATGGTATTATGGGATTTAACCCAACCTGCACGATACTGAAGATAAAACGTGTCCCTTGATCAGAAAAAATGAAGGGAGGGTGGCTGGAAGGAAGGAGTCTATCTACAGCATTACTGCATTTGGCCAAAGGATTATGCTGGGGTTAGTGAGTGTGCTGACATTGCCCATCTGATTATAAAACCCAGTTGCCTGTATCAACAAAGGTCCACCATTGATTCTTCTTCCACAGAAGGGGTCCCTTAATAGTTTAACTATTAAGCGTCCAGTATCCTAACCACTCAGCAAGGCCCATAACAACAGTCTAAGAATCTCTATCAATGATGACTCGCTCCCTCTCCCTCAGTCTCATAGGACCCAAACCCAGCCCACCAAGAAGACTGTCCCAGTTCGCCATTCAACAGAGACAAGATGAAACTGACCAAGGGGGGCAGAGAACTAGCAGCGCTGGGGGACCTGACTCCCACAATGGGGGAAGGTAAACAAACCAGACACGAGGGCCATCTGAAGTGTCCACATCCTCACAAGGGGGCACCCGATTGGCCAGAGCTGGCAGTGGTGAGGTTAGTAGGAGAGGTCATCTGTTTTGTGTACGTTGGCCTCAATGCCTTGTAGGGGACAGAGAGGCTATTCTCAAGTTCATCATCACGGATTTGTTTTCCTTGTCTCCTGAAGCATATGAAAAATTCAGTCTAAAGGGACTTGGAGGTCCTCCTGCCCAGTGGGAACACCTTCCTCACCCAGCACGGCAGGTTGCCACGGTAAATGGGTGGGAAAGGGGAGTAGGCATTTTATCTAAAGTACCATATTTTAAATGTTAGGACTTGTATCCTTTGTTCCCATCTCATGATTAAATGTGTTTTTATTATATCATAAAGTCCACATGAGGCTCACTGCCTGAATCACTGCCTATCTCAGAATAATGGAGAAGGGGCACAATGCATACATCACCTTTAGGGAGATCGGTGAATCCTTGGTGGAAAATGCTGGTACCCATCAGCCCAGGCTTGGCACACTTCTGGGCCCTGGGGCCCCCAGAGGTATGACTGCCTGATTTTTAACATGTGGAATGACCTGGGCCAATACAGGGGCTGCCAGTGAACGTAATGGCCGAGGATGCTATAATCCAAACCAGGACCACTTTGCCCCCCTCAACCCAACAAATCCATCCTCAGTATCAGTTCAGGCTGGTTTATGGCATCCTTCCACTTTTATCCAGCTGCTCCCCTCAAACCTCCCACCTCTTCAGGGGTTCCACGGCTCACCTGAGTGGGGCCACCAGGGATGACGGTCACTTGCCTTCCTGTGTTTAACAAACCTCTCAATGTCCGCACCCTACTTCCCCCCTGATGAACTGTCACTCAGGCTTGATGCCTGTTGGTCAAATGGTAAAAATGAAATAGATTTGGGAAACTTGACCCTGAAAATCTTCAATCAGACTACAAGTGAGTTAGTGGAGGTGGAGGCTGGCTGTCAACTCCCTTCTTATCAATTCCATGTTTTAATAATAAGATTAATAACTCCCTTTTCTTTTGTCTCTTCATCCTAAAGGGGAGGCAGCCTGGGAAGGCAGCACCATTATGGACTGTTTGGTATCAAAGAGGCCCACCCTTCTACCCAGGCAGGGAGGATCTAGGGCCAAGATAACTGGGAAGAGGGGCAGCTAGGTGGCACAGTGGATACAGCAATGGCCCTGGATTCAGGAGGACCCGAGTTCAAATCCAGTCTCAGACCAGACACTTGACACTTACTAGCTGTGTGACCCTAGGCAAGCCACTTAACTCCAACTGACTCACAAAAAAACCCCCAAAACAAAAACAGATAACTGGAGGATTCATAGCAGAGGGAGCTATCCTCACTCTACTCTCTGCCCTCTTCCAGAACCTCAACTCCAACAGCTCACATTGCCTAAAGTGGACAATCAAATTAGCATCAGCTTCTGAAGTTACTTCTCTTTCCACTTTCAAATGGACCATCAAAATGCCACCAATTAATTGGCCCTCTGTCCACATATCTACCAAGGTTTCCTTCAGTCTCACTCTAATCAGTTCAGCAGCCAGCTTCTCAATAGCAAGTAGCAATGGCTGAGGTATGGTTCAATGGATTCCTCCTTAGTTGCATGTAGCAGGTCAACCCTTCTGGCTTGGCAGGAGTCTCCAAACTTATGCCCTTAGTGGAACACATTCCACAGAGCCCACAATTCCTACACTCTCAAATGATAGAGACTAATTCTGAGATACCCATTTGACCAGAGTTTGCCACCCTTGTTTGCTAAACTAACACTCAGCAAGGATATTCATTTACAGGTGCAGTTTTCCAGGTGAAAAGTTTTCTCCAGGTGAAGTTTTCCTCCTGTGGGGATATACTCCACAACAGCACATATGGGAATTAGGAAGTCTGTAAGGTCCAAAGAGCTATACTTTCTTCTCAATATGGGTTTATAGCATTCACTGAAAAGCTGCTTTTAATGCATCTAGTCTAGCCCTGTTCCAGGTCTCCAAAAGAATTAAAGCTAGCATTTCTATAGTGCCTTAAGGTTTATAAAGTGCTTTAAAAATACTATTTCATTTTATCCTCAGCAAAACCCTGGGAGGCAATAGGTACTATTATTATCTCCATTTTACAGATGAGGAAACTGAGGCAAACAGAGGTGAAGTGATCTGCCTAGAAGGGCAGTTAGGTGGTGCAGTGGGTAGAGCTCAGGGCCTGGAATCAGGAAGACTCACTGAGTTCAAATCTGACCTCAGACATACTGTGTAGCCCTGGGCAAGTCACTTTGCCCTGTTTGCCTCATTTTCCTCATCTGTAAAATGAACTGGAGAAGGAAACAGCAAATCACCAAGAAAACACCAACTGGGGCCACTGAAGAGTGGGGACAGGGCTAAACAACAACTTGTGGGGTCACAAAACTAGTAAACGCGTGAAGCTGGATTTGAATTCAGGTCTTCTCGACTTCCGGTCCAGCAGTCTATCCACTGCTCCATTTAATACCATGTGGCTTGGTCACCCCCTTAGGACTCAAAGCCTAGACAGAAGAAGTAATGGCTAAGAAAGATCCACCTGCTCTTACTGCTGAATTGGCCAAAGCTGTTTCCCCCAGCTTTTCAGAAGCCACACTGACAATCAACCTGAAAGCTAAATCCACTTTTGTGGCATCACTGAAATGCCTCTCGAGCTAATGGAAGCCCCCCACTCTTGGCACCTATCCCACCAGAACTCCCCATAGTTACTATGCCTGTAATGCTCCCACGCCCCTTTGGCATCCCTTCAAACGCAACGCCAACGTCACTTATTTCTTCCAGGAGACCTTTCCTAATCCACACACCCTTCCTCCATGAAACCTTTCCTAATTCATCCAAGTACAATGCACTTAATTTGGTAATTTTCTAATTCATGTATCACATAAAAACGTTGGCCACTACAGTTGTCTTTGCATCTCATCCCTCTCCTTTAAGGTAGACTTCAGAAGGGGAGATGCCACGACTTTTCGCTATCGTCTTTAAATCGTGACACATCGCAGGCCCTTGACTGATCTGTAAAAACAGCGGCTGGGGAGGGGACTCGGGGGTCCAGGTTCTCCCCTTTCATCTCTAAACCCTCAGCTCCGCTCTGCTGCTCACGTTCCACACTGCTTTTCACTCCCAGCTAGGCTGCTCCCCTCTCTGCCCCGCCCTCTCCGTCCCGCGGTGTCACTCCGGCGGGATTGCCCAATCATGGCTCCCACCCGCGCGCCCGCCCCGCTCCCCGGGCTCACCGATGGGCTTGTCCAGCCGCATGAGGCGCAGATAGGGCTGCAGGGGGCGGGGCGCCGCGTCCACGATGGCGGCCGCCGACAGGGTCAGTGAGCGCCCGCGGCTGGGCCCGGGGACGGGCGGGGGAGGGCGGCGGAGGCTCGAGGCGGCGCGGGCCGCGCACACGACCAGCGCCTGCCGCCGCAGCCCCGCCAGGACGCCCCGGGCCAGCCAGAGGCGGCCCGCGGCCATCATGGCGAGCGCGCAGCCACCCCGGAGCCTGAGCGGCGCATGACGTCAGCGGGCGTGGTGCGCGTGCGCATCGCGGCTTCGCTGCCGGGTGCGGGGGATGCTGTCAGCGTGCCTTTGGTCCTCTGGCATCGTGACCTGCGCTTGCTGTGCCTTGGCTGGAGCTGCCCACGGCCCGCCCCAACTATGGCCAGAGGGATCGTCTGAACATTAAGCTGCCTCCCCCGCCCGGCATCCGTGCCCAGGAGGATTGCAACAGGCTGGCCCTGCATGCATCGCCGTCATCTCCTGCCTCCCAGCCTTTGTCCCCCAGGCCAGTGCACCCCCGCCTCACTTATTCTTCAGTGTCCTCGAAGACTCCAGCACGGATGGCCTGGACCGCAGCTTCTGCCAAGCTTCCCTCCAGGGCGTTTATAAAAGATGTTGTAGGCGGCCACAATACTCCTGAAAAACAGTCTGGAACTGTGCAACCCCCTTTGACCAAGAGATTCCAAGGAAAGGATAGAGTAAGACCCCTCTGTACAAAAATGGTCACTGAGGCTGCATTATTTGTGACTTAAAAAGCTAGAAACAAATATGAAAATATTCCCCAGGGACTAGGGAATGACTGGACAAATTATGGCATATGCAAATAATTATAGCGGTTCAGTCCTGTCTGATTATTCATGACCCTTTTAGGGTTTTCTTGGCAGAGATACTGGAGCAGTTTGCCATTTCCTCCTCCAGCTCATTTTACAAATGAGGAAACTGAGGCAAACGGGGTAAGTGACTTGCCCAGGATCACACAGCTAATAAGTGTCTGAGGCTGAATTTGAACTCAGATCTTACCTGAATTCAGGCCTGGTGCTCTATCCACTGTACCATCTAGCTTTGGGGTATAGTAAATACTTAATGAATGCTTTATTAATTCATTCATGCCCATTATATCACCTTCTCAAGGTTCTTAGACACCCTAAGAGGGTTGGGAGATCTCTTTTCTCTACGACTGACTTGAGTCTAATAGTGTTCTCCCCATTTTAGGGGCTTGTGACTAGCACTCCAGTTTTCTTTAGCCACTTAACATCAGCTTTTACCTGAAGGAATATTTACTTCACAGATATAACAAGAACAAACACACAAACATTTCTTTTAAACCTCAATCTGATAGAGGAGAGTAAGGCACAGAAGGTTGGGCTGAAAACAGCTCAATTCCTCCATAGCAGCAGTCCCACCACATTCACACCTGGATGTTGCATAGCCAAAGGATGGATCCTTCTGCCAGGCTAGAGGCGTGCATGGGTTCTCCTGAAGATTACTCCTTGTTCCCCGGCTCATCAACGCTGGGCTGGATGAGAAACTTGGATGATGCTGTGATTTCTGCCCTTCCTGTGGCTTGTTCCCAAGATTGGAGACTTTGCTTCCTTCGTCGGACACCATATGCAAAGAAAAGAGTCACTAAGATCCAAGAGCCTGCAGAAATGAATCAGGCAAAGGGCCCCTAGTTGAAGTAAATAAGTCTTTTGAATACCTCACAGCCAATCCTCTTAGGTGAACTAGATTTGGAGTGTTCTCTCCTAGGCACTTTGCTTGCCAATCTCCAGGAAGCAGTTCCTTAAATTCCCTGGAAGCATCTTCCATATGGAGATACCATTAGCAAGCTGATGGGGTCTTCACATGTACCAGACTTCCATTACAGAGGAAATTAATACCTCATCAGGCTACTTTATCTTTTGTAAGTTACTGACCCTTTTATTTGTGATTAACGCTTTGGTTAATGGGGCAGAAAAAGAACATTTGTGAATGGATTACTTATAGAATTAGATTAAAAAGAAATTCAGCCCCTCAGATAAAAATGCTGAGGGGTCTAAACTGTCTTGAGGACCTAAGAATAAACTGTCCCTTAGATCAGGACCTGTTTGAAGGTAAAGCACTATTTGAATTATAGATGACTGACTGCAGGTATTTGTATTCTACCGTTTGGCAGCTAGGTGGCGCAGCAGCCAAAGCGTTGAGCCTAGGGTCAACAGGACTTGAGTTCATATCTGTCCTCACAGATAACTTACTAGCTATGTGACCCTAAGCAAGTCACTTAACCCTGTTTGCCTCAGTTTCTTCACCTGTAAAATAAGCTGGAGATGGAAATGGCAAACTGCTCCAGTACTTTGCCAAGAAAACCCCAAATGGGGTCATGAAGAGTCAGACATGACTGAACATTTCATTTGTCAATGTCTATCTTTAAAGTTTGAAGGTTATAACTGAGAAATCATAAATCAAATAGAAGTTTGGGGACTTTGGGACAATTATTTAACAATCTGACAGAAAAGTGGAATTTTTTGAGTTATGAGGAGGGTCTGGTTAGAGTCATTAGACTTGAGACTGAGGCTCTTTGACGGAATCCTTTCAGTCAGAGGGTGGCCCTTGAGGGCCTGGAGGACCACTTGTGGCCTTGAGGCCGCAGGTTCCCTGCCCATGGGCCAGGCGCTGTGCTAAGCACTTTATAAATTTTATTTTAATCATTTCCTTGAGTGGAAATTGCACAATGATTGGAGATAATCTTTTCTTATCTTACTGAATCTTAATATTTTTCTTATCTTACTGACCCCTGGTCAGTAAAGATTAGACTTCTTTATGGCAACGCTGTGAAGGAGTACAGATTTCCTTGTGGTACACTGATTTCTCTGCTGTAGAACAAATATGAAAATGACATCTCTCCCTATTTATGCATAGTGAGTACATGGGACATATTTGTTTTATAAGGAACTTGAGCAAAATTTTGGCAAAGCCATGTACTGCCTAACATTATGATGATACATTGATTTTCAAAAGTTGTCAGTACATTTGCTTTTTTGGTTTCCTCCAGTAGAATATAATTTCGGCAAGCAGAAATTGGTTTTTTTTCTTTATTCTTGCATCCCCTGCAGCTCTAGGTGCACAATAAGTCTTTAATAAATTCTTGTTGTTGATTGAAAAAAAAAAGCTTTGGTGGGGGGAGGTATGAAAGTGACCAGATGAAGTAGAAGGAGGAGAATCAGAGCCTAGGAAGAGTTGGGGACAGAAGTCACAAGAGGTGACGAGAAACTCATCAGACAGAATATAGAAGCTGGTAGGAGCTGAGCTGACAAGAAGGCTCTGACCAAGAGAAAACTGAAACCATAAAAGAACTCCCAAAGGAAAAATAAAATCCAGGACCAAATAGATTTGTAAATGAATTCTATCAAACATTTAAAGAATGATTAATTCTAATACTACATAAATTGAAAAAAAAAACAAGAAAAGAAGGGGTACAACCAAATTCCTTATATATCATAAATATGATCTTGATATTCAAACCAGATGGAGTGAAAACAGAGGAGGAAACTATCGACCAATATCCCCAGTGAATATTAATTAATGCAAAGAATTTAAATAAAACAGGAGCAAGGAGACTACAGCCAACATATCGTAAAGATCATTAACCATGACCAAGTTTGAGTTATACTGGGTAGGCAGGGCTGGTTCAATATTAGGAAAACTATAAATATAATTGACTATATTAATAATGACAGATATATGATGATAGATGCAGCAATAGCTTTCAACAAGATATAATACCTATCCTGGTAAAAAACACTAGAAAACATAGGAATGAACAGATCTTTCCTTAATATGGTAAGTAGTATATATCTAAAATCAAAAGCCAGAATTATCTGTAATGGGAATAAATTAGAGACCTTTCCAAAAATGTCCATTATCCTCATTTCCATGTGCTATAATGCTGGAAATATCAGATATAGCAATGGCAAGGAAAAGAAATTAATAAAGATAGACACGGAAGAAACAAAGTTATCACTCTTTTGTGTATAATATGATGGTTTTCTTAGAGAACCTGAAAGCGTCAAATAAAAAATTAATTGATGTGATTAACAACTTCAGCAAAGTAGTAGAATATAAAATAAACCCACACAAATCATTAGCATATAACCAACAAAATCCATCAGGAAGAGATAGAAATTCCATTTAAAATAAATACAGATAATATAAAATACTTGGGAGTTTACCTGCCACGGTTCCACACGCAGTAACTGTATGAACATGATTGCAAAACACTCTTCACACAAATAAAGACAGATTTAAATAACTGAAGAAATATTAATTGCTCTTGTATAGACCAAGCCAATGTAATAACAATGACAGTACGACTTAAATTTGCTTATTGTGCTTATTCGGTACAATACTAAACTACCAAAGGATTACGTTATGGAAGCAGAAAAAAATAATAGCAAAATTCATCTGGAGGAATAAAAGGTCAAGACTACCAAGGAAATTTTGAAAAGAGTTGGGGAGAAGGAAGGGAACCTATCAGTAGCAGATATCGAACTGTATCATGAAAACAATTTGGTGCTGGTTAAGAAATAAGGAAGTGTATTGGTGGACTAGATTAGGCATACAAAATACAAATATAATTGAGTACGGTAGCTCAAAGATCTCAAAAATCCCAGATATCGGAGCAACAACTCCCTATTCAACAAAAAAATTGTTGGGAAAACTGGAAAGCAATCTGGCAGAAATGAGGTGTAGACCAATATCTAACACCATATACCAGAATAAGTTCCAAATGGGTATATGTCTTAGACACAAAGGGTTATAAGCAAATTAGAGGAGCAAAGAAGAAATTACTTTTATGATCTATGGATGTAGTTATTGTTATTCATCCATTTCAGCCATGTCTGACTCTCCATGATGCCATTTTGGGGGTTTCTTGGCAAAGATACTGGAGTGGTTGGCCATTTCCTCCTCCAGCTCATTTTACAGATGAGGAAACTGAGGCAAACAGGGTTAAATGACTTTCCCAGGGTCGCAGAGCTAGCAAGTGTCTGAGGCTGGACTTGAACTCAGGAAGATGAGTCTTCCTGTTTCCGAGCCCAGTGCTCTATCTACTGTGTTGCAGTGTTATAGTCATTCTATAAATTGTTATTCTGCTTCTATTTATTTCATTCTTTGTCATTCACGCTACTAAGGATTCTCTGAAATTGTTTTATCATTTTTTT